ACCACTGAGTCACACCCCAGCCCCTCACTGGGCGATTCTAGGCAGGGGCTCTACCACTGAGTTACACTCCAGCCCCTCACTGGGGGATAGATTTCGGTAGGGGCAGGTGTAGCTCAGTGGTAGAGCCCTAGAACTCTCCAGTGAGAAACTGGGGTGTGGCTCAGTGGTAGAGCCCTTGCCTAAAGTCCCCAGGTATGGGGCTGGCAGCATGGCTCAGAGGTAGAGCACTTGTATACCACATGCCAGGCCCTGGGTTTCATTCCCAGCACTGCAAAGAAAACAGGAGGAGAATGGGCAAAACAGACCCTAGTGCCTGATAAAGATTCAGATCATAGATTTATATGTGAACCACATGGACGAACCACCTCGTGTGCCCTCTCCTCTATTGCTCTCTGGCAGGCATATTCTGACCTGACGTGACATCAGGATACCGCCTGGCAGTTCATTGCCGTAGCCTTTTGTCTTCTTAGCTGCGATGGTTTCTCAGCCTCTCTCTGACTGTGATGTCTTGGACAGCATTGAGCAATGCTGGCCCAGAGGTTTGCAGTGCGTCCCTAGGGGTCTGTCTGAATGCTTTCGTTTCATTAGACTCTAGCACATTTGACGTTTTCATCCACGGCTGTCATTATTCCATCGGAGTCCAGATTGTTGCAGTTTTGGCTGGTAGGAGCCTTTCAAACAGCACCCTTAAAAAACAAACAAGCAAAAAAGCTGGACGGTGGAGGCGCACGCCTTTAATCACAACGCTTGGGAGACAGAGGCAAGCGGATCTCTGTTAAATTCAAAGCCACCCTGGTCTACAGAGAGAATTCCAGGAGAGCCAAGGCTATATGGAGAGACCCTGTCTCACAAAACAAAATACTAAACCAAACTAAACCAACAACAAAAAACACCTTTAAGAAAGGAGGAGCCAGCAAGAGAGTTTAATGGGTAAAGGACTTAGTGCCCAAACTGTTAAACTAAGCTTGATCCCAGGCTTCATACTGTGGGAGAAGTGACCGGACTTCTAAAAGTTGTCTCCTAGTGCAGTGACACTCCCCCCCACACGCATGCACATTAAATGTAATTTTAAAAATTAAAAAAAAAAGAGCCAAATGGTAGTGGCACACGCCTTTAATCCCAGCACTCCGGAGGCAGAGGAGGCAGGCAGATCTCTGTTAGTTCAAGGCCAGCCTGGTCTACATAATGAGTTCCAGGACTGTTTTCATAGCTACTAGGAAACCCTGTCTCGAAGAAAAAGAAAAGAAATGAAGAACAGTGTCAGGAGTGGCACGTTATTATAATCCCAGCCCTGGAAAGACCAAAACAGGAAGATCAGCAGTTCAAAACCAGCCTCAGCTATGTGAAACCTCCTCTCAAAGGCAAGCAAGCTGCACAAGGTGACATGGCACAAGCCTTTAATTCCATCACTGAAGAGGTAGAGGTAGGCATAGCTCTGTGAGTTTGAGGCCAGCCTGGTCTCCAAAGTGAGTTCCAGGACAGCTAAGGGTACATCGTGAGACCTTGTCTTAAAAAAGCAAAAACAAAACCAAAAATCCCAAGAACCACCCCCAAACAAACAAACACCCAGCCAAATAAATAAGAGGCTGGAGACGTTGCTCAGCCGATAATGTACTGGTCTAGTATGCGTAGGGTCCTGGTTTCAACTCCCCAGACATGTGCTTGCAGCTATAATCCAAGCACTTGGGATGCATTGGCAGAAGGATCAGTAGTTTAAGATCATTGTGCAGCATAGGAAGTTGACGGCCAATCTATATGACACTCTATAGCAAAGAGAGAGAGGATAGGAGGAGGAAGAAGGGTTCATTTGACTTCATAGTTGAGAGGTTGGGAGGTCGAGAAGCCCCAACTGATGATGGCTTTCATGTTGACCACACCCCAAGGTGGACACAATGTAACAAGATGTGGGGAATTTGTGTCCTCTGTCATTGTTTTTCAAATGTGGCTCAGGCTGACCTGGAACTCGGGACACTATTGTCTCAGCCTCTTAAGTGCTGGGGTTCGCCTGCGGTTCAGACTCATTCTGAGAGTGTCCACAGGACCCACAGATTTGCCTGCTGGGGAGACAAACAGCTCCTTTTAGATTCGGGCTGTTTGTTATTTACATAAGGGCAGAAGGGAGACCTGCAACAGGAGGGTGAACAGGAAGATGGAAAATCTGCACAAGGGGCCAGGCCTGTAAGGCTGGCACTGGGGAGGAAGAACAGAAGCTCACAAGTTCAAGGTCATCCCCAGAGATGTAGTGAGGTAAAGGTCAGTCTAAGCAACGTGGGACATTGTGTCAAAATGAGATGAGGTGTGTGTGTGTGTGTGTGTGTGTGCGCGCGCACACACACGCGTTGAGTGTGTGGGTGGATGAAAGAGAGAGAGACAGGGACAGAGAGAGAGACAGAGAGACAGAGAGACAGAGAGATAAAGAGGGGGGAGGGAAGGAGGGATGGAAGAAGGGAATTCTAAGGAGGAGGGTTAGTATGGGAGTTGGCTGTAGACTTCCTGGAAGAAAGGAGAACCCTGGGAGGTTTTCTGCCTTCTGGAAAAGTCAGGGTTCTCGACCTGCCATCTTTAAACTCCATCTGCAAAGGGCATCGTAGAGGCCAGCACGGTGGCCAGGGCGTATCCGGGGAACCACTTACTTTACAAGGGCTAAGACTTTTCTTCACTTCTCCTTCCTGGCTGCAGTAGGGGCAGAAAGGAGGGTGCATGAGGAGGTGTGAGATGGTACCTCGATTGCTTCCTTGGTCCTGCTAAACAGTAGAGCTGACTCCCTTCCTCACTTGACTTCATCCATCCTTTAGGGACACCATGCTAGGTCTTTCTGAGGAACTTCTGGTGATGGGACCCACAGAGAATTCTCAAGAGAGCCTCTTCTAATGCAGCTCTTCCTATGAAGTTCGCCGGTGACCTTGGCTTTCTCAGACATGCGACAGAGAGCAGTCCTCTTCCTTGGCTACAGGAGTGTGTCTTGCTCTCCAACACAGCACAGGAGCTCTTCCTGCCATACTGAAGTAGCTCAGCCTGACCACAGTCTTTCTTCTTCTGCTGCAAGTGCTCATCTGTCTGTTGTATGGCGTTGGATATGGAGCGCAGTGGCTTATACACGGTAGGCAGGGCTCTTAAGGAAAGTCACAACCACAGCAGCTCCCTGGGGGATTCTAGGCAGATGCTCTACCACTGATTACACCCCAGACCCTCACTGGGGGATTCTAGGCAGGTGCTCTACCACTGAGCCACACCCCAGCCCCTCACTGGGGGATTCTAGGCAGGTGCTCTACCACTGAACCACACCCCAGCCCCTCACTGGGGGATTCTAGGCAGCTGCTCTACCACTGACCACACCCCAGCCCCTCACTGGGGGATTCTAGGCAGCTGCTCTACCACTGACCACACCCCAGCCCCTCACTGGGGGATTCTAGGCAGGAGCTCTACCACTGACCACACCCCAGCCCCTCACTGGGGGATTCTAGGCAGGTGCTCTACCACTGAACCACACATACCCCAGACCCTCACTGGGGGTTCCATGCAGGCGCTCTACTGCTAAGATACATGCCTAGCCTTTGCCTTCTTTCACTCTCTTATGTACTAAAGCAAATGGGGTGGTTGCTGGGGACGCCAGATCAGCCTAGATCCTTCCTGGTAAGTCCTACACTTGTTGATTGGCTCTGTAACTTGTTATGGTAAAGTATTTTTCTCTCCATTTTCGTTTCTGCCTTCTTTGAGACAAGATCTTGATATATATAGCTCAGGCTAGCCTGGAACATGAGATCCTTTAGTCTAGCCTCATGAGTACTGATTGGCCCAACGCGTGCATTTTAAACTATCTTCTTGACTGTATCATTAATGTTGAAAAAAAATCCTTTGTCTCCCTTATCTTTGTTCCCAACTAGCCCTTTGTTGTTTGCTTATTTGAAAGCAGTTCTCATCGAGTTCAGGCTGGCCTCAAACTCACTACGTAGCTGAGGATGACCTTAACTCCTTCCAAACCCCTGACGCTGAGATTTCCTGCCTCAGCCTTTCCACAGCAGCTGGGGCTGCAGTGTCTAATGGTTCCTACTTTCCACGTTAGTCACAGAAAAGGGTGCAGTAAGGATGACTCAGGAGTTAAGAGCTCTTGCTGCTCAGTCACGAGGACTTGAGTTCAGATCCTGCCATGTGCATCTCATGACTCACACATTCTTACAACCCTAGCGCCAAGTGGTCTGTTATGTTAGTCTCCTCTGGCCTCTGCTGTCACCTGAAGATGCTTAGAGACATACATTTACACAGACACAAGCACCCATGTGTACACACATACATAAATAAAATGAAATCATGAGAAGAGTCAAGTCAGGCCCAGCATTTGAAAGACCGTGTCAGGAGGATCTCTGTGAGTTTAAGGCTAACCTGGTCTTGGGGAGAGAGAGAGAGAGAGAGAGACAGACAGACAGAGACAGACACAGAGAGAGACAGAGAGAGTAACTTTTGTTATAGCATTATGCTAGCTTTTCTATTTTTATTATTAATTACTGCTTATCTTTCATTGTGCCTAATTAAAATTTTATTACATTTAATTTATTTACTTTGTGTGCATCTGTGTGTGAGGGAAGGGTGCCCTTTTGCCGCAGGAAATCTGTAGAGGACAAAGGATAAAAGGAGTGAGTTCTCCCCTTCATCATATGGGTCCCAGGAGTAGAACTCAGGTCGCTGGGTTTGGCAGCAAGCACCTTTACCCACTGAGTCATCCTGTCGGCCCTCATTATCCATGATTTGTGAGTTAAACTTTATCATATGTATGAAGAGGAAAAGTGTGCTATATCAAGGTTCAGGAGGTTTTTTCAGGCATTGACCAGGGTTCTAGGCATATGTCCTCAGAGACAGAGAAGGACAGTACATCCAGTGACATTAATGACATTCGTGATGTTGTGTAACTGTCCCCACTGGCCATTCCAAAACCCTTCCATCTCTCCAGGCAGGAGCCCAGGAACCATTAAGCAATAACTACCTCCCCCAGAGCCTCATAACCTCTCACCGATTTTCTTTTCCTTTCATTTGTTTGCTTTTTTATGTATAAAAATCACTTCATTGTAAAGAGCTAGAAAATAAAATATATCACGCAGCTTGGTTAACATAGCTGCCTAAACAGATTCTGGCCCGGACCCAAAGTCTACACATCTCATTGAACTTCTGTGCAGTTAGGACAGCCCTTCTGCAGCTGGGTGTAGTGGCTAACCTACCACCAGATCATGGAGGCAGATGCAGGCTGATCTCTGTGAGCTCCAGGCCAGTCAGAGCTACACAGTGAGACTGACTGTCTCAAAACAAAAGAGCCATTCCAAAGCCATGGAGCTGCACACTGGACACCAATGGCCACCCTTAATGCCTTTATCCAGCACACACAAAATCCCGAGAAACCCCATAACAGAATGAAAACCAGAAGAGCGATTAACTGTCTGCCCTCTTTCATGGCTCATGAGTCCTCCCTCGGTGACCCATCCCTTTTCTACCTGATCCCACTCTCTCATTCGCCTTACTGTGTGTTATTCTCTACTCACACGTGTGCTTGTTCATGTGGACCCATGACAGGCTAGGACACATATATGAGGGAGGACATGCATGTCTTTTTTTTCTTTCCGGTTTTGGGTGTCCTCACTTAATATTATACACTCTAAATTCATCCATTTTTTTTAGAGATGAGTCATATTCCCACATTTCATGTGCGTCAGGTGGTCATAGAAAGTCTCCTGTTGATGAGCACCTGGCTGGGTTCCGTTCTTTGCTACACAGCAACAGTGAGCATGGGGTTGCAGGGGTCTCTGTGGACAGCTCTGAGGTTCTCTGGGGACATGCCCAAGAGTGAAATAGCTGGGTCATATGGTAGTTCCATTTTTAATCTCCTGAGGCATCTCCAAACTGATTTCCACAATGGCTGATGAATTTGCACCCTTGTCAGCGGTGAGTAAGGGTTCCTCTTTCTCCACATCCTCTCTAACATTTGCTGTCAGAGTTTTGATCGTAGTCATTCTGACTGGAGTGAGGTAGTATCTCAAGCTAGTGTGAATTTGCATTTAAAAATAGTTATTGGGTCTGATGGGGGTGGAGCATGCTTTTAATTCCAGCACTCAGGAGGCAGAAGCAGGTGGATTTCTGTCAATTTGAGGCCTGTTTTTGCTGCGGGAGCACCGTCCGCTCCTTCAGCCAATAGCCACAGAAGTGCTTGCTGCTCTGATATTTCAGCGGCTATTGGCTGAAGGAGCAGAAGGCGCTCCCACAGCAAGTTTTATCTACTGAGTGAGTTCCAGGACAGCCAGAGCTACACAGAGAAACCCTGTCTCAAAAAAACACCAAAAATTTATTGGTCATTTGTGTTTTCTTTTTTGCAGGAGACAGTTCTTTTTGTTTGATTGTTTAACTTAGGGTCTCCTGTATCCCATGGTCTCCAGTTGCTGTGTGGCCAAGGATGTCTTTGAACTTCTGATTCTTTAGTCTCCATTTCCCAACCAAGTGCTGGAATCTCAGGCTGGTGTCACCCTGACAGAGCCCCCCCCCCCCCCCCGCTTCTTAAAAACATCAATTCATTTTATGTGTATTTTGCCTGGTATATGTCTATGTACCATGTGCATGCAGTGCCTGAGGAGACCAGAAGAGGGCATCAGGTCCTCCAGAATGGGAATTATACGTGGTTGTGAGCTAACATTGCGGGGTGCTGGGAATCAAACCTGGGTCTTCTGGGAAAACAACCAGTGCTCTTGAGCACTTGGCATCTCTCCAGCAACCTCATTTGTTTTTTTTGAGACAGCATCTAGATAAGTAGCCCAGGCTGGCCTTGATCTTTTTGGCTCCTGAGTGTTTCAATTACAAGCATGCCTTTATCATTCTTTCTCTCCCTTCCTTCTCTCTCTCTCTCTCTCTCTCTCTCTCTCTCTCTCTCTCCCTCCCTCCCTCCCTCCCTCCCTCCCTCCCTCCCTCCCTCTCACTCTTGCTGTCTCTTGCTCACTCAACTCTCCCCTTTCTGTGATATATCTAAGGTAGCTCCAGCCTGGCCTCAAACTCACTATGTAGCTGAGGTTAACCCTGAACTTCTGCTCTTCCTCCCCCGGTTCCGAGTATTGAGATTGACTTCAGTTCTGAGTGCTGAGATTACAGGCATCTGCCACCACATCCAGTGTACATGGTGCTAAGGCTTAGTTTGTGGTAGGCAAAGCCCTTTACCAACTGAACTACATCCCTAGACATCAGCTCCCGTTTCTAATTGGCACAGACCTTCTGATTGCCTTCTCTTCCAAACCAAACTCTCTGGCCTGGCATTCAGAGCCCTCTCCACCTGCTGCCCCTTGAACCCGCAGCCCCCACCTCCCAGCCCCAGTACCATTAGGCAGAGCACATGTGGTCCCAGGGCTCAGCTCAGCCCTCTGTGGTTGACCACCAAGCTGCAATGGCTCGGTCTGGCTGTCTGCCCGGCTATCCCATGAGCCTTTCCTGGCACACAGCCAAAGATCTGAAATGTTCATTGAGGGACAAGCGAAGACACCTTTGAGATGGTACTGCCAGCTGTGCCACTGCTGTTTCCTCTGAAAGCAGCACTGTGAGTGACGGACCTGTGAGGGTCTGTCTTGCCTTGGTGACACGCTACATTACAGTCCTTTACTGCTTGTCCTGTTCCTGCTGTGACCTTGGGGAGAGCTGAGGACCACATGTGGTCTCCTGGATCCAGTTTAACCTAAGGACACCACAGGGGGCTGCAGAGATGCAGAGACCTTCCAGTTCTTGAGGAGGATCTGAGTTTAGTTCCCAGCACAGGGGATTTGACGCCATCTTCCGGTCCTGGGT